AGGAAAAATTATACTTTTATTTTTTCTCTTAAAGAATGAGATTTGAATCTCATACCACTAAATTGAGCATAAACAGTCCCAGCAAGAAAAAGGTGGGCACAAAATTACAAGGACATTATCGAATTATACTTTGTTCGAAAGAACAGAAATATGTAATATTGCAAAGAAGTTGATTTATGTTACAGAGAAGCAGTTCATCTGGAGAAAAGTTTAAGACAAAAAGGGCTTCAAACATAGGGCAAATTAACAGAGAAGCAGATAAAAATTTCCCCTAGTCATCATCGAATTCCTCAGATTCTTCTTCCTTAATCGTCTCCAACCCAGGAGAATTTGAGGTTCTGAGTGGCGAAATTAGAAGTGCTGGAGCAACTTCGACCCAAGAACTATAGCACCCATAATTTCCCTTCGCCATTGCAGTACTTTCCTATACTGTTCTACACCACAACCGCACTTTTCGATGCTTCCAGAACAACAGTGAGTGATTGAAGAAGATGAATCTGTTTCAAGAAATTGTTTGGTGTGGTTTAAGGCATAGGAGATGCCTCTTATAAATATGACAAGGGAAAGAAACAGGCAAAGTGGAAAGATTGCTTTGCTGCCGCGTGAAGCAGAAGGCAAAATTCACGTGGAAAATGAGATGAGTGACTAGGAGATGCTTCTGCGATAAGAAAACAAAACCACGTGGAAACACTGACAATTACACGAGGCCAATTTGAGGCCACCCACACCCACCCCACTATATGGGACTGTTCAATGGAGCCTGTTGGGTTGGATATGGGCTTCGGTTTAATCACTCGTAAAAAAATTCGGACTCTATGGCTCAGTGTTAATTCCCTTCTTTATATATAAAAGTTAAAAGAGTTATTAAGCTTGGGGATTGCCACTCTGTTCTGAAATTTTGGATTTCGAACATAGTAAGCTATTTTATGTTTTTGTGTCTTTTAGTTTTTTTTTTTGTTTTCCGTCCGGTATCAGAGACTTCGTCCCAACTAATCTGGATCGACCCGCATCACACACTTGAAAATGGTAGGTGAATCTCCTAATGAAAGTTGCTGCGTACACAAGATCTTGAACTCAAACTCGAAATCTTACTTAAACTGAAACAACCCACTTACCACTTGATCCAACCCGTTTACCACTTGATCCAACCCTCGTTGTTATGTGTCTTTTAGTTTTGTTCCTTGAAATTGTAATTGAGTGATTGATTTGTGTACTAAGAAATCTTCTTTTCTGATGTAGATTTTTGCTGTTAATTAATGACGATTTTCAGTGCTTCTCAAAATAAAACAATATTTCAGAAAAAGCTAGGATTTTGGACTACGAAATAGTGACACTATTAAATAGGGTGAGTAATTTAATACTGTTTAGTATGATAATAATTGTTGTACAATTTAATATAATCTAAACTTATACAATGGGTGATGATATGGATGGCGAATATATAGAATGATTTTACGGACCAATGACATGACTTGCCACATCATTATTTTTATTTTTAAAAATTTTAATTTGAATTTACTTTTTTTTATTTTAAACGGCTCCTTGTCTCCTTCATTTCGTCTCTCTTATTTCTCTCAATCGTCTTCTCCATTTTTATGTCTAGCTCCTTCTTTATGGAATGATTCGGTTCAAATAGGGATGACAATTCTCCCTGTTCCTTGTGGAGCCCCGCGAGGATCCCCGCCACAGGGATGGGGCGAGGAGGATTATTTTTTTCGGCAGGGCGGGGACGAAGACCATTTTCTCCCCCGTGAAATTTCGTGGGGATTCCAATCCTCGCAAAAAAAAAAAATAAGAGTTTTTATTTTAAAATTAATTTATTTTTTAAACTCAAACTCAAACCCAAACTTAAACCCAAACCCAAATCCAAATCCAAATCCAAATCCAATCCAATTACAATTAAATTTAACCCAATACTATCCAACCCAACCCAACCCATTCCCCAATGTTTAACCCTAACCTTAATTTATTTTAATTCTCATCACTCATGGTCTCACTCTCAATCTTATTGTCTACAGCTCACCCATCTCTCACCTTCTTAGTTTCCTCTATTGTAGTTACTGTCGAATCCATCTCCTCTGCTGCTGCTGAAGCCATCTACTCTGCTGTTGCCAAATCCATATGCTCTGTTGCTGCTGCCGAAGACATATGCTTTACTGTTATTGCTGCGGAAGCTTGTTGCCAAATCCATCTCCTCTGCTGTTGCTAAAGCCATCTACTCTGCTGTTGCCGGATCCATCTGCTCTGTTGTTGCTGCCGAAGACATTTGCTCTGCTGTTGCTGTTGTTGGCGAATCCATCTGCTTGGTTGCTGTCGGATCCATCTACTCTGCTGTTGTTGCCATTAGAGCGATCTGCTGCTGTTGTCGAAACCATCTGCTACTGCTGCCAGAGCCATCTGATATTAATTAGTGGGGAATAGGGATCCTCGCGAGGATCCTCGTCCTTGTGATTCGCAGGGACGATGATGGGGAAGGGCTCCCCAACCCCGCGGGGCCTCGTTCACATCCCTAGGTTCAAATACATCTGAATTATTTAAAACTCCATGGCAATTGTTTTTATTTTATATTTTTTAAAAGAAAACTAAATCCTAAATTATTAGATGAAATTGAACTCTAATTGATGAAAATTGAACCTTAGAAATGGTATTCACTCTTTACAATGGAAGATAAGTAAGAAAAGGGAGGAAGATTTGGGAGAGAGAAAATGTAAAAGATATGATGAAGATGAAGGCAAAACAAGTAGAAAATTTTCACCAAAAAAAAAAAAAAAAAAAAAAA